CCCTGGAAAGCATGGCCCCTGGACTCTCTGTCAGCCCAGAACTAAAACAATTTCCGAGGCCAACTCTTCAGACAGGGATTGGACTGGACTGTGGGACATAAAGTGATCCTCGTAAAGAGAGTGCCTCCTAGTCAAGTAGACACAAGAGACTAAAGGGGCAGCTTCTGTCCAGAGGTGAGATGGGAAGGCATAGAGGGTTAGGAGCTGGTTGAATGGTCATGGGGAATTGGGCGGAAAGGAGGAGTGTGCTGTCACAGAACTGAGTGAGCAATTAGGGTCACATAACAGTGTATTTATAAAATTTTGTATGGGAGACTAACTTGAAATGTAAACTTCATTTAACTGCAACAGTAAAAAAAAAAAAAGACCCCTAGTAGAATGTAGAGCATTGTCTTTATAAACTGTGTTATGCCAGTTGAGCTCGATGTTCCCTGAGACCATGGTCCCCACAGCCTTCCACCCAGCAATTCAGTCCCTCAGGGAGTTTGGAAGTGTCTTTGGAGGTTCCATGACCTTTCCTTGTACAAGTTGTGCTGGCTTCCCAGTATTGTGTACTGTCTTACCCTTTAGTAAAGTTACCTCTTATCTATTGTCTATTTAGTTCCTCCCCTACCCCTCCCATCACTCATAACCAACAAAGATTGTTTCTTTTTGTGTGTAAACTTTTACATGAGTTTTTACACTAGAGGTCTCATACAATATTTTTCGTTTTGTGATTGACTGATTTCACTCAGCATAATGTCCTCCAGTTTCATCCATGTTATGAGATGCTTCACAGATTCATCATTGTTCTTTATCATTGCATAATACTCCATTGTGTGTATATACCGTAGTTTATCCATTCATATGTTGATGGGCATCTAGGTTGTTTCCGTCTTTTTGCTGTTGTGAACAGTGTTGCAATAAATATGGGTGTGTGTATGTCTATTCACATTTCTCTAGGATATATTCCTAGGAGTAGGATTGCATTTTGTAGTGCTTTTTTTTTTGTGGTGCTGATGTTTTCTTTGTTCCTCTTACTCTCCTGTGCTGAGTTCCTCTTGTTTGTGGAGTTTTTTTCATTTGTTTTTGTAGGTTTTGTTTTTACTGAGACTTTGTTTTTCTTCTTTATTTTGATGAGTAGATTTGTTAACTTTCTTTGTGGTTACCTTGAAATTTACGCTTGTCTTCCTAGATTTGAACCAGTCTGTTATTACTTGGTATTGCCTTGCCTTCTTCTCCATTAGAAGCTTCTATACCTACACTGTTTATTCCCTCTTTTTTTTTATATATATATATTTTATTGTACTTCAGGTGAAGGCTTACAGAACAAATAGTTTCTCATGAAACAGTAGTACACATACTGTTTTATGACATTGGTTAACAACCCCACA